CAAAAATGGCCGCTCCCAGACTCATTGATCGCGACAAAAATGTATTGATTTATGTTAAATTAATTAAATCACCACAAACGTATTAGTTTTAGGTATAAATAATGATCCATCTACTGAGCACACATTAACAGATTTTTTTCAGCTTTGTTTTCAATCAGGTAAAACTTCATCCGTTATTGGACACGCTAACGCTACAGTTGCTTTTAACTCGACCCGCAGACGCTGCATTGTTATCGTTTTCAGGGTAACCACAGTGTTTTACATCATGTGGAAACGTTCAGCCACTCATGTAGAGTAACGTCTCTGGCATGAAGCAGGACCCGAGCAGATCTGGTTCTTACAGCGGCCCACAACTTCAGAAGCTGTCTGCTCCAGAGCTTCAGTGGGGGAAACTGGACCCATGTCCCCCGCTCTCACATTCTGCTTCTTTTTTCCTCATAATAAACCAATCAGGACGGTTCATTTCAGGCCAAATGTTCTAAAAACCATCCGGCCGTTCACTGACCGTCTCACAGCACAGACACCCAGCAAACAGCATCAGCGGTCAAAGGTCAGAAGGGAAAGGTCTGCAGTCGGTGATTTGAAGCCAAAGTTAGGGTTAAGGTCAGGTAGAAAGACAGCAAGGCAGGGCAGGCTGATAGCAGGGGGGGGGGCAGGGAAGGGTTCACCTACACTGCTTTCCCATTTGAATCCTGAACCAGGTTCGGCCCCCAGCCTCTCAATAGCAGACGGCTCAGGGTCAGATTCAGTTAAGTCCTTAAGGAGGAAAAAACAAACATGTTCACCTTTAAAATTCAAAGAAAAGGCTGAAACTGAACGGATGTTTTCTTTATGGGAACGGCTGGAAGGCAGGAAAACCCAAAAACCCGCCTGAATGATGGAGAACGGATCCTCCTGGTTAGACGACAGCACGGCTGAAAAGATCGTTAACAAATTTAGTAATCGATCAATCGTTAACTGGAGAACAGAGACTCTAAAACATGCCGTAACCCGTTATAGGACGCTCACAGAAATACTTTGAAAACCTAAATTTCAAGCTAGTAGTGTTATTGGAATCCAGGACCAGACCTTATTACCTTTGTAAAAATATGGATATTTTGATGGCAAAAAATTAACTCATAACAAAAACACCCAACTTGCCCGAATTTATTAAGAAAAATAACTAAAAGGTTTCTATAAGAAAAGAAAAACATTTTTTTTGGTCCAACATAACCTTAGAGGCATTAATGCCGATACTGGCACTGACATTTTTTAGTTTATAAACCTAAATATAATTGTTAACTAGACTTATTAACTTTTAAATTAGCTTTTTACCTTTTTTAAATTTTTCCCAACTTAATTTCCAGTAGCTAATCTATCATTTAAGGGCTCATCTAATTGGTCAAATGCCAAAATAAGATGTACCGCCATGTAGCAGGATCTTTGCTGAATGGCTGGATATAGATCTAGTGCTTCTAGACCTCACTAAGTGGGGGGGAGGGGGGTAATGCATCTGATCAAAAACTTTAAATTGCCCTATAAAGGGTTTAGCTGATAGAGAAACCCACTAAGGAGTAATTATATCAAATTTCTAAAAATATCTTTATATTTTGCATTTAAGAAAAAAAAATGTCCATCTATCAACAGGTTTGATCCAGAACTCCACAAGTGGAAAAGTTTTAGTTTCATACTAAAAAAAAAAACTTCTTTAAGGAACCTTTTGATATCATATTATTAATGAATCAATAAAATAATCATTAGATGCAGCCCTAAACCACACTTTAAGAGCTCCAACTGATAATCAGAAGCTAATCTTTACTAAAATCAGCTCCACATCAGGTAATGGGATCAAATTTCCTTAAATCACACTGAATCCTGTAAAGATCTACTATAATCCCAAGGTTTTTGGATTTATTCATCTAAAATATGTTTAATGATAGGAAATTCAGGAGTCTAACACTTTCATCCCGCTGCTGGACGGGGTGTAGCTGAAGACGACGCCTTCTCTCCTGAAGGAATCCGTCTGCGCTGGAGGAAAGACGACCAAACAATCCTTCTAGAGCTAAATGAAAACGACCTTTAAAAGCAACATTCCCACTTTATCCTTCGTCAACATTATTTTCTCCATTCTTTAATAAGCTGTTCTCTGCTGAAGCTCCTTCACAGCCACATATAGTGAGTGATGGACCAAGTACTCAGCAGTACTACTGCAGTAAAAGTATTGATACTCTTCATCAAATCTTACTCAGCTACAATTAAAAGAACTCAGTAAATAATCTACTCAGGTTGAAGTATTGAAGTACTCACCTTTGATAATGCTAGAGTATTCAAAAGTACATGCATTTTAAAGTATTTAAGCATTAAACAAATACAAATAAAATCTTCTCATTTCAGAACATTTCTGTATAAAATTAGAACCTGTAACTGTCAGAAATCTCCTGATGTATAGATGCGTAGAACTACCTGCTATAGATTCTACACCACCTGGAAAGAACTTCAGCATAAAAGGCCACAAAAATAAGGACATATTTAGATTATGATTTGTTATTTAGAAACAAACTAAAAAGAAAACAGGAGAGTTTTAATTCTCCTCATTCTTTCACTATGGAATAGAGGTTAAAGGTTGAATCTATGACTATAAAGAAACTAGAACTCTGATCTGAGACTCATCCTCCTGAACAACTTGGCCTCATGGCAACAAATAAGGCCTTAATGAAATTATAATCTAGTAATAATATCTGCTCTGAGTTTCTCTCATCTGTGGAACGTGAATAAATCTGTAGATCAGTGGCATCCAGATTCAGTCCTGAGGGCTGCTGTCCGCCATGATGGATGAAAAACAGCAACAGAGGATTAAAAGCTAAGATGAACAGAAGGAACGAAGAACTAGCAGCTTCCTGGAAACTAAAGCCTCCAAAAAAAAGACGCAAATAAACTAAAGATACTCAAAAAAATACTTAAGTACAGTAATGAAATAAATCTAATTTACTTATTATTCTATTCTAGTCACTGACTTGATTTCACATCGCCAACAAAAGATCTGATTTTTCCACTTCATTTGCAGACAACACAGCGACCAAATGACACCAAACGGCCAAAACCGAGCCGCCTGCCTCCCTAAATTCGCCACCGTGGCTCCACTCCAGATTCGCCCTCTACAGAGATAACGTGTGAATCCTCTGCGTTGGTGAGAACGCAGCTTTAGGCGCCGAGACTGAGCTTCCCAGACCGACAGGCTGTTAACACGCCAGCAGTTGGTCACAGTTCAATGCTCTTTAATGTCTAACATTTGTGTCTATAGATGATTTTTTAGGGTTTTATTTGGCCGAATCTTAAAGAATCCTGTAAAGCTGCAGTGAGACTGACTGTGTATTAAGAAACCAGAGTGAGAACGGCCCGATTCGCAGCAGCTTTTCTTAGGAAACAGACGGTGTTTCACTGAGACACGACCAGAAACCGGAGGAAACCGGTTTTCTCGAGCAGACATGAAGTCCAACTAACCTTTTCTGACGGGTCCTTCAGCGCGCTGAGATCCTCGTCATCTTCTTCTAGAATCTTCAGCGGCTTGTTGGAGGTTTTTTTGCCTTTTGATTCTCCTTTACTGTCAGAGTTCTGCCAGAAACACACACAGACATTTTAGACGTCCATCCAAAGCCTTTAAGAAGATTTAAAAACCCGACTTTAGCTGCTGCAGAACTAGTTCAACCTTTGAGCTGCTGTGGGTTTGCAGACCAGCAGAACTGATTTTTACGACAGATGGAAAACGACGCATCTTTGGGGAATCAGAAAAACCATTCTGCGTTTTTCAAAGCAACAGGAAACAAAAATCTGGAAAGTTCGACACATAAACACATTCAGAGTATTCGTAAACTTATTCAGGGGAACCTGAAACCCTGTCTCTCCTCTTTATGGGTCTAAAGCAGAGTATACACTATACGATTTTTAGACGTTTTCAGGCCAATTCTCAGCCTGATCGTGCGTGGTGTAGCTGTACAGGGGCTAACGAGGGGCGATCAGCCTCTAACAACCACCTCCCCATCAGGAATCATAAGGTCAGGAGAAAATCAAACATGTTTGAAATTCAGTCGGCCGTCGTAAGGTGGTTGTAGGCAGATCGCTCAGTGGACAAACAATGATTCTTCCTCCTCTCAGAGGTAAACCCAGCAGCATGGCGGGGGTTCAATGACAGACCGTAGTAGCCACGTTAGCTCAGCCATGTCTTTGTCCAAATACGTCGTCTCCTTTTCTTTTTAGGGCTTTCAGCACTAAGTCGCCCAAATATCCAAGGCAGCGCGTTTCACTCTAGTGAGCTTCATATTCCTCTTCTACTGGTTGAGTCCCACCTGGTTTTTAGACGTACAGTGTGAGCAGGTAGATCGCATCAGAGCGTCAGGTTGCAGTGTGAGAACAAACATTGTGAGCTGTGAACTTCTAAACCCTGCGGTTTGATCGTACAGTGTGAGCTTGTAGCTGCGTGCAACGTTTGAAAAAAATCGTCCAGTGTACGCCCGCCTTAAGATACAGGTGTGGACTTTGACTAGGCCAGTTGGGACGCATGTTTACAGTCTTTGTCTTGCTGGAAGTTAACATCAACCAGAAAGTTCTGTTCTGGAAAGCGGGACAGAAAGCTGAGGGTTCTTCCACCTGAGCTGTGAATCACTGCAGCTCCTCCAGAGCTACCACAGGTCTACTGCCTGCCGCTGCCATCAGTGCTCTCCTTGTCCAGCCTGTCATGCTAGACTGCAGGTGGTTCAATGATGGACCGGAACCTGCTTTAAACTGGACCAGAACTTCCTCCCTGGTGGGTCTGCTGGGATTTATAATCCGATTTCGCTCTAATGAAGCTAAGAGAGCAGAAACCGGGGCAGCTGCAGCTGGATCCATTCAGTTCATTGAGGTTTGTCTGTTTCTCACGGTTTATTTAGGGATTTCACAGTAAGGGGGTTGAATGTTTTAGCTGCTCTTAAATTAATTTCTAAAACCTTTTTCCCTTTTAGTTGCTCTATGATACCAAACATTTTAAGTGTAACTCTGAGTTACCTGATCTTTCCCTTTGGCTTTCTTCAGGTAGTCTTCCACGGCGTCCACTGCCTGCTGGAACCGTTTTCCTTTGTTTATCTTGATCATCTCTTCTTTGTGGGCGTGGTAGGGCTTCAGCTGCTCCACTTTGATCCAGGCGCTGCTCAGAAACAAGAAGCACAAACTCTGACATGTGGCAAAGGATGAGAAGCGGGGCAAACATCGGAGCAGGGGGCTTTAACTCACTGGTCCTCAGTTCCAAAGAATTTCACAAAGTGGCATTTTTTGCCCCTGGGCTTTTTCAGGTCCTTGGGGGGGCTTACTATCTGAAAGAGAATTATTTTCACAAATACACATATGTGATTCAAACATGCACAGTACAAGATTCACCAAAGTATTTCTGCTCCATAAACAACTATAAATGAAATTACAAAGTACCAGTGGTCTTTAAACTCCACTGCTTTTGTGTTTGGATTGATGAGACTTAAAGCAGGAGTGGTTGGCCACCAATCACAAAGCTCCATTGTATAAGCCAATCACAAGAAGGCACGTCACGTGGAATGACTTAGCCCCAGATTCCACATCCTCTGTCACCCCTCCGCTCACGGACATCGTGCAAAGCCCCTGTGCATTCCTGTTAAACAATGTGAACTGCTTCACATCCACCGCTACTCCTCAGAACGTCTCCTAGGGCCCTATAAAATCCGTTTCATTTTTTCCCAAATTCCGTTTTTTTTTTTTTTTTTTTGCAAATTCAGTTTTTTTAACCTTTTACTATTATTTCAGTCGTAAAAAGAATGTGCTTTTAATGTTAATTATTAAAATGTACACAAATAAAATAGGAATGACCTTAAATTTATTGAGGTAAAAAAACATATTTACTCAGTACTTTTACTGCATGATGCAACATAACGCTGCACGCTAAGCACTAACAAAATATTAATGGTTATGAACTAGGACTGCAACAACTAATCAATAAAATCGATAAAAATTGACTTTTAAAAGCGTTTGC